TTACATATAACTATATAAATGATTATAAGATATACTCTTGAATATTAGTTATTAAGAAATAATTTATAACAAGATTGAATATGGAAGATTTTGGTGGAGTTGATCAATAAAAGGATCATTCTTTAAAAGAGCAGTTAATGACTAACCTAATATAATTAATAAAAAAAGAAGTTATTATAAAATTAAATGATGAATCCTAAGGTCGATAATTCAAAGTATTTATTATTATCTAAAGAGTGCCATCTACTTTTTTAGATAATTTTTTTCAATCAGAAATGTTTTATTATATATATATTAATAAAGAATTTAATTATGTATTTAGTAATTTATTTTTATGTTTGCATTACACAGATATTTAGATACATATAATTAAAATTTAAAACTCTTAATTATTAGTTATTAAAATAATTTATAAAAAAAAGGAAAATTGAGGAGTGATTAAAAAGTGATCAATAAATAAGAAAATTTATAAAAAAAGATAAATAAAAATGCTAAGCTAAAAGAGTGCCAACTCAGCTTTTTTAAAATTTTTTTCTTCAGAATTTTATATATATATATATAATCACCAAATATTATACGAAATGTAACCTATAAAACTATAAAATAGTTCTCATCAGTGTCTAATTTAACTTACTTGAGAAATTTTCTATTTTCTAAATAATTATTTACCTAATTACTTATATTGAGTACCTAATTAGTTATATATGATTTTACAATTTCAATATAATTAATATGTTTTTTTAGTTTCTAAATTAATATATATTACTTTAGTGTTTGGATTATATTTTATTATTTAACTTGATATGTTATGTATAAACCGTTTTAAAATTCAAATCAAACCTATTATTTCAATTTGATTTGAAAATTCCTTTAAATCGCCCTAAATCAGATCGTATACACTTCTACTCCTAATATCAACTATTACTGTTATTTTGAAAATTGAATCGGACCAGCCGGTTCGCTCGGTTTAGTCAGAAACCAGACTATAATCCAGTCCAGGTTGGATGGTAAAATCGGCAACTTCACAATTGGTTAACCATTAAAAATCGGGTAAAAAATTGATGAACCGGACCAATAATCAAAACTATTGGATTCAAATTTTAGGTTTTCCTCAAACTATGGCCTATTTAAAATATGGGCTATTAAGAATTGGGACTTTAAGGCCAAAGTCTTAATTTATGGATCAAAGCAATTAAATCGCGGAACTTTAAAGTTAAAGGTGAAAAATATTAAATTTTATGGTAATTAATTATTATTTTATTAAATATTAAATTTAGTCATTTTTTATTCTTTTCATTTAAATTTATTTTCTAATCTTTTTTATTTTTATGTAAAAAATCAAATTTGAAACTGTTTTTTTATTTGATATTAAAGTTTTTTCTTATTTTTAATTATATTTAATAAATATATTTAAAAATACTATATTAAAAATTCGGTTGAACCTCATTAAACTTGATTAAACCCTCTGGTTTAATGAAGCCCTTATTTTTACTAGTTCATTTACCATCCGGTTCTCAGAAACTAGCCATTACATAATATTAATTATTTTAGTAGTTGTTAATTATTTAGGTTGGATCTCCAATACTTTAGATACTCCATCCGGACAAATATAAGTTGTATAAAGTTATTGCATGATGATTAAGAATGTAATTAATTTTTCTAAATTATAATATATAAAATGTTCATTAATTTGGCTAAATTACCTTTTAGAAAATTATGGAGATAATTATTGTTTTTAATATAAATAACAGTAAAATTGAAAAACATCATTAATTACTCTTTGATATTCTCAAAATGACTTATATCTGTTGGCAATATGTCTCTAACCCGACTTATATTTATGGATAGATAAAGTATTAATTATTAGTAGGTGGTAGTTTATATAATAATTTAATGTAAAAATAAATTAAAATTTAAAAATTTAATAAAATATGTCGTGCTCTAAAATATTAATTTTCATAAAATACTGATTAATCTTTAAATACTATTATAAATATTAGGAAAAGACTTAATTTTCCCCCTGAATTTGGGTATAACATATAATCTTTGCCTAAAAATTAACTTTTTGTACAATTTACTCATTAAACTTGCACAAAAAGTACAAAATATCCAATTTTTGTCCCAAAAAATAAATTATTTAATATACATCAAATATGATTAAAATTTTAATAAATTTCTTATGTAAATCAAATATAATTAAAAATAATAATTAAAAAAATAATAAATATTTTTCTAACGAAATATTTCAATATAATCAAATATTTTTTTAATTCTATAATTTTTTAAATCAAATATTCGTTAAATTATTTTAAATCAAATTCTGTAAATTTTTATAATCATTATTATATTTTTAATCCTTTTTTATGTAATTTTAAAATATATTTTTTTACTAATAGTTGATAGGGTATCTACAGGTACCCACTACCGAACCTATTTAATATAGCGATTAACGAGTAGCAAGTATCCAAATATCTATACAGGTGACCTTATATTCATCACGGGTAGTAATTTCACTATTCATATCCATTACGGGTAGTAATTTCACTATCCATATCTATTCCACACTTATAATTACTCATATCCTCTTTAAATGGATTGGAGCAGAGCGAATACCCTAAAATACTCGTACCTCCTCCATCCCTATCCCTTAAGGTATAAAACAATATATTAATTATTGGATTAGTTTCGAATTAATTCATGTGCTGAAAATTGGATACTTTGACAAAAATTAATATTAATGTTGCTCAAATTTTTAGAATTAATTTAATTATTTTTTAAAATTTTTATTGGTTGATTTCAATTAAATAATGATTTAATCAAATAAAAAAATTAAAAAAATATTGTAATAGTCGAAGAACTGAAAAATAATCTATCATCGTTGTGGGGACCGTCAAGCTTCATGAGTCACAAGCACCAGGCCGAGTATCGGGCCTGTCTTGATGTGCGCCGCCTTCTTGCACGAGCTTTGGCAGTTGGCCTGTCTCGATGTGCGCCGCTTCCTTGCACGAGCTTTGGCAGTTGGCCTGTCTCGATGTGCGCCGCTTCCTTGCATGAGCTTTGGCAGTTGGCGCATGTCTTGGTTAGCAATGGTTGCTGGATTTCAGTTATATATATATATATATATATATTGCCGCTTCCTTGCATGAGCTTTGGCAGTTGGCGGCATAGTCTTGGTTAAGCATAATGGTTGCTGGATTTCAGTTTATTATATATATATATATGTTTATTTATTTATTTAAATTTGTAATTTTCTGATGAGACGGTTGTCGTTCAGTCAAGGGACGAGAAATCTGTGATCTTTTGATTATATTGCGACTGTTCTAGAAGCACATGATGGCAATCGGAGATGCTGGCCATTGTAGACCTTTAACTACCAGCGGTGGTAAGGTTTTAACGAAGAAAAAAAAAAACCGATTTTGGAAAAACTGACGCATTTTACTTTTTGGTCTTTCATTAATTTTCAGTTTTTCAACTGAGCTCCCAAACCTTTTAATTGTTCAATTATGTCTGAAATTAATTTTGATTGGATATATAAATTGGTTCAATTATGTCTGAAATTAATTTTGAATTGGCATATATAAAAATCTATTAATAATTCCATAAAGTTAAATCAAATCCAAGACAAAAAAAGTCTCTACATGTTCCATATAAATTATATGTAAATTCGCAAGAGAATCTGTGAAAATCGTTAAGAAAAATGCCCTTCAAATTCCATTTAACGGTTGTCGTTCAGTCAAGGGACGAGAAATCTGTGATCTTTTGATTATATTGCGACTGTTCTAGAAGCACATGATGGCAATCGGAGATGCTGGCCATTGTAGACCTTTAACTACCAGCGGTGGTAAGGTTTTAACGAAGAAAAAAAAAAACCGATTTTGGAAAAACTGACGCATTTTACTTTTTGGTCTTTCATTAATTTTCAGTTTTTCAACTGAGCTCCCAAACCTTTTAATTGTTCAATTATGTCTGAAATTAATTTTGATTGGATATATAAAAATCATTATAATTCCATCAAAGTTAATCAAAATCAAGAAAAAAAGTCTCACATTTCATAAAATTATATGTAGAATTCCAGTAGAATCTGTGAAAATCTTAGAAAATCCTTCAATTCCATTAAACTCAATAGTTCTTTTAAAATCTTATACGATTTTAATTCAATATACCCTTAAGTCAAAGTGTCAAAGTGCTATTAAACAAGGCTTAATAGTTGTTGGTTATTTATATTATTTATGTTTTTTGAAATAGATTTATATTATTCATGTTAACGGCTTAAATATCTAATAGCTGTGTGCATTTTATTAGCCCTTCAGAGGAATGAATATTTTGTTAAAAGTCTTGTCGAATGTCGAACATGGCCTAAGATTTCTTTTTTTTGAAAGGAATACGGCCTAAGATTTAGCATTTGATTCAATTAATCTGAAATTAAATCAAATCAAATTTAAATCAGAAAATTTGATTTAATTTATTATTTTACATAATTAGTTTTATTTCAATTTTAAATGAGAAACATTGAAATCTTTTTTTCAGTTTAATTTTTGTTAATGCAGATAAAACTAGTTTTTTTTTTCTAATAAATATAATTATACCTTTTTTATGAGATTAATTTTATTTTCAAATTTAGTAACTATTCCTTTTATAAATATTTTTTAATATATCAAATTCATAATCTTGGTTTGCTGAATTTCAAAGAAAATTAAATTTCATCTGTCTAAAAGTAGCCAAAATCGACCAAACTAAGAATTTTATTTAGTCAATGGTTCGGTTCTAAAAATAATATGTTCAATTATGTTCACCATTCAACTGGTTTTCATCTGAAAAATTTCTATATATTCGGTCAGAGATCGAGCAATTCGATTTGAACCGAACCACCCAACCCTACCAACTTCACCCCAAAATACATCCATAATTACAAGCTACTGCCAATTCCGTATTTGAATACCCTTATCCGTATATTTCTACATGCCCTGAATACCCGTGGTTCTTATATATTGCTCTAGATTCACGCCACACGCCTCTCTCGTTCTTTCTTTCTCTCTCTTGTCGGTGTTGAGATCTTGCAGCTTCTGCACTCTAAGCCACACACTATAGCTTCCTTCAAAGATAAAATAAACGAAGGTATAACAACTCAGTTCTAGGGTTCCAACAATTAATGCTTAATCAAATTGGATCTGTACGCAAAGGGAAAGGCAATGCTATTGCTTGATCGTCGTACGGCCGTGGCTGCTTTATGCTAGTTTTTGCGGTTGGATTGTGGAAAGAGGCGTGTATGAGGGAATTGGTGAAGGATTCAAGGCGGAGAATAAGGTGGGATTTCGGTTTGTTCATAAGAAGCAGGGGTATGTGGGGCAAATGTGGCTGATGCTTTCTAATTATCATTGTTTTGTTGTCGTTTCTTGTTGAGGTTTTTCTGTAGTTAATTTGATCTCAACTGGAAAAAAAAAAAATCAGATTCTCGTCGTTGGAACGAACGATTTACAGTTTACCAGTTCTGGAGGAGAAAACGTAAACAAAATGCAGCAAGATCAGAGGAAGAAGGTGATGATTATTATTGATTATCACTATTTAAAATTGTGATATGATGATTATTAGCAATTGATTAATTAGATATGATCTAGAAAGTAGTCATCATCATTATTATTGAAAAAGTTGATTATGGGTCTTTTCAATATCTTTCCAAAATTAAAATTTGTTGTTACTTGAAACCTTATATGGAACAGTTTTTATTAGTCCTAATGCCATATAAAAAAAGAAAAAAGAAAAAATATATTTGGTGGGTAGGTAGAGATATATAATTTTGGTAGGTTTTGTTTTGGAAATTACATTAGAAAACATCTCTATTTTTTTGGTATTTTAATTATGAGAGACGTTGGGTATATTTTTCGCCTTTTAAGTTTTTGTTTTGACCGATATTGTGGTTATCGGATTTGAATTACTTCTGGAGAAATTAGTTTCATTTTGTTTCTGGTATATGATTCCTCGAATTAAATACCAAAAGTTTTCAATGATTTCATTAGATTTTATTTTTATTTATTTCCCCTTTGTTATCTATAGGCAGATCGGATTCTGTCTACATGAGTAGATTTGCTGATCAATGATTTGGGGTTCACGCATCAATTCATCATTATTCTAATTTTTGAACTTCATGTTTGTATTTTGCTTGTAAAATTTTGATTTTTTGCAACTAGGAGTAGATGCATTTATCTGTTTTCAGTTTAAATGTTGGTGTGTGCAGGTATTTCGAGGTTGCATGTATGATTGCATTTTGGTTTGAAGTTTAGCTACCGGTTCTTTTGTATTGTTATTTCCTTTCCAAACACCCTTCCTGATCAAGCAGGAGTTATGAACTTTATTATTCTTCATGACTGGTGTTTAAATGGAATTTATCCTTTTTCTAGTTAAATCCATTGCTTTTGTTTCATTTTCTCGGTAGATATGAAATATACATTTGTGTTTGTTTCAGTCTTCGCATATTTTAGTGGTATCATTTGCTTTTTGTGTTTTCTATGACTTCCTGTTAGTTCTTACTGATAATTTTCTACATTTAAAGTAAGTTGAGTTTGGACCTTGGGGAGTAAAGTGAAGATTAAAAACTTGAATTGAAATTCATAGCAGTACATAGGAATAGGATCTTATACTTTAGTTATCTTAAAGGATGTCATACTTTGATTGTTCTTATTAGAATTCCCTCTATTCTTTTCTTAAATCAAAGGTAAAGAGACTTCTTTGTTTTTAACATGGGCATTTGCTTGTATTCTGACCTGATTGTATCCTATGTTTCAGAATTCAACAGAGATGGACTTTTTCTCTGAATATGGTGATTCCAATAGATATAAAATTCAGGAAGTTATTGGCAAAGGCAGTTATGGCGTTGTTTGCTCAGCAATTGACACTCACACTGGTGAAAAAGTGGCAATAAAGAAGATACATGATATTTTTGAACACATTTCAGATGCTGCTCGTATTCTTCGTGAGATAAAGTTGTTGAGACTCCTAAGACACCCTGACATTGTTGAAATTAAACATATAATGCATCCACCTTCAAGGAGGGATTTTAAAGATATTTATGTTGTTTTTGAGCTAATGGAGTCAGATCTACATCAAGTCATAAAAGCCAATGATGATTTGACTCGGGAGCACTATCAGTTTTTTCTTTACCAGCTTCTTCGTGCATTAAAATATATCCACACAGGTATAGTTCTCTTATTCTTAACTGCTTTTTTGCAGTTAACCGTAACGGTTATGGTCATGTTTAGAACTGTTATGGTCATGTTTAGATTGGCAACAATTTTATTGCCTGCTGTTCTGTTATGTAAAGTGTAACTTCTGTCTTGATTGTCTAATTTTCCCTTGAATTCTGGATGCTATTTCTTAAAACCTTTCTGCCCTTGTCACTCCTATCCTTCTCTTTTACTTCCTTTTTTCTTCAACTATCTTAAGATTTCTTAGGAATGTGTCAATTGTCATATATCTGATCCTTATATTGTCACTGCAGCAAATGTCTATCATCGAGACTTAAAACCTAAGAATATATTGGCAAATGCAAACTGTAAGCTTAAAATTTGTGATTTTGGCTTGGCAAGAGTTTCTTTCAGTGATACTCCCACGACAATATTCTGGACGGTATGCCTTCTAACATTTTAGACGATGATTATGATGTTTGCTATACTGGTATTGTAGCTGGATTTTTTTGTATTTGTACTTTTTACATCTACTTGGAATATAAGAGCCTGATGTTTTTAGTTTTTTTATTTTTTTATTTATAGGACTATGTTGCTACACGATGGTATAGAGCTCCTGAACTCTGTGGATCATTCTTCTCCAAGGTCAGTCTTTGAACAAATGACTAAATCGATATAAAATTTTCATTCCGTATGATTTCATTGATCTGATAGCTGTAAAAAGAAGTAAAAACAATTAAAAGAAGTAGCATGGGATGTTGCAACCAAATAGCAGAAAGTAAATTACTTTCTCAGAAAATGTCTTACTCTAGAAAATATTTTTAATGGTCAAATATTTTCATGGAAATATAAAAAGCCTTAGATTCCCATGGAGTATAAAAGTTTGAGGCATATAATAAAAACTAAAAGTTGGGTGGATGGCATTTTGCTTTGGTGGCATTGGTCCGTCAACAGCAGCCACCGATTATAATGGGCGGTTGTTGCTTCTTCTTCTGATTGATCCAGCCTCTAGTTGTTTTGATTTAATTATACGTTCTCTCAGAATTCTTTCTTTCTTGTTTTTATATTATATAGAGAAACTAAAATGGAAAATAAGTAGCCCTCCTAAAATAAAAGTCTTAAACAATCCCTCTATTACCTAATGAGCTTTCTACTACTGAGAGAAGAAGAATAATAATTATGAAGAGGGCCTTCTCTCCAATATGGGTTCAGTTTATGGGACTTTGTCTACAGCTTTGAGAAGGAGTATAAACATTAATTAGTCTTTGAAATCCCTTTTTCGCAGCTAGCTCATTTGTGTCTAGCAGTTTAAGCCATGGCCCAGTGACCTGTTTGTTTTCTTCTACACTATTTTAGTTTTTCCTGGTTTTCAAACCTGGACTGAACTGGCCAGCTCAACTGGTTTACCTGGAAACGGGTCAAACTTCTAGGTTGGGTTTAATATTAACCCATAAATTGTCAAACCGACAGTTGACCAAGTGGACTGAATGGTTTGGATTTCAACTGGGTGTACTCGAATGGGTTACTTAGGCAGGTTTGAAGAGTTTTGACTGGTTCTAATTGATAAATCTTAAATTAAAATAGGTTGACAAAAACATCTATGAGGCTCAAACGAGTATACTCGGAAACATGTTAACATGTTATCTATGCACCAACACCAAGGCCATATAGTCTAAATTGCTAAAAAAAAACTTATTTTATACTTTTCTCCAACTCCCTTGTCAATAATAAAAAAAACTCTCATCCTCATTTCATAAGGTTAAGAAAAAAATATACTTCCTCGGGCCTAAAATATTTGTCCTATTGACTTTCACACAAAGTTTAAGAAACAAATTAATTATAATGTCACTTCATAGAAATTGTCTCTACTTTTCCAAAATTGTTATCCTTTAAAACAAAATGATCATTCCTATAATTTAAAACTATTAATAGTGAGAGGCATAAAAAGAAAAGTAAATATCTTTTAAGTTAATTGGACAAACACTTTGGGACGGGGGAGTATTTAATAAATTTATCCTGCGTGGAATATTTTTTTTTTTTTTTGAGAAATAATTTATTAATAGTAATATCAAGTATTACAAATACTAAATTAGATTAGACATAGAATTCATTATCATAATTAATAGAGCTTTTAACAAATAAATAAATTATATATATATAATTTTTTAATAATAAAACTAAAATTAAAAGAGATAATATTAAATTTTTCTTTTTGAAGACGACCTTGATAACATATATAAATCTTTATAGTAGTAACTGCTCCTTTAATTGATTTGAACGACAAAATAACTTTTTCGAATCTTTTATACTTGGATTGTTTTTTGAAAAACCTGTTTTATATGACATTCACAAATGAGGTTTGCCACTATGCGTCAATATCATCAATGAAGGAACAAGCCGTACTACCAGGCTCTATTGATTGAAGATGCACATCTGCAAAACAAGATCTAAATCTCCAGCCAAATAAAACCAAGTACCTTACCTTAATTATTACCAAATCCTCACATAAAAGGGACCAAACCCTAATGGAAGAAGGGACAAAAAAACTCTAAATATAGAAATTAAGCAATAATACCAAAAAAAACAAAGAAAAAATAGTTATGAGTTTATTAAAAGCGAATAAAAATTAGAAGTGAAAAACAAAAGTGAAAAGTAACACCAAATCCTCACATTAAAGGGACCAAACCCTAATGGAAGAAGGGACAAAAAAACTCTGCATATGGAAATTAAGCAATAATAAAAAAAAAAAAACAAAGAAAAAATAGATATGAGTTTATTAAAAGGGAATCAAAATTAGAAGTGAAAAACAAAAGTGAAAAGTAGAATATATTTAAACAACTCTAACTTTATTGATTCGTGTATAAATACTCATTATCAATTATTTGTTAAAACAATCTATTACATTGAAATTTCTTTGTTGGAAAGTTTTAGTTTTAATAAATTTTACTAATTTTAGTTGATTTAAATTTTAGTATATGATTTTTAATAAATTTCACTAATTTTAAATCAATTTATATATATCTAATTTAATTATGGTTCAACCTCGGTTGAATAGTTGACCTTAAATAAAAATCCTTAATTTTTTTCTTCTATAATTTCATATTAATTCAATTGATTTTTTATTCATAAATTTTATAATTTTCTTCAGGATTTTACGGCGAATACCTAATAAAATTTCACAATTGGATTAGCTAATATACCTCTTTAAGACCCTTCTATCAAAAGTGTATTATTATTCTATTTTATAAATCAGCTACTTCATGAAATATTCACAACATTTTAAAACGTAAATTTCTAAAACTAAAAAATGCACTTCATTTTTTATTGTTTCGATCTTTATGTTGCTATTAGTGAATTTTAAACTATGAAGGATTAAAATGTTCTATTATAAATATGTACTAGTATTTAAGAATGTGGGTTGCACGTATTATTTTTTATTCTAGGTACTTGTTATTTAATTTATAATTTTTATTATTTACTAAAAATGATGCTCGTTGTTATTTTAATTCCCAATAAAAACAATTGAATACAATAATTAATAGAACTTAAACAAAATTATGGAAAACGATTTATAATTAGTAAAATATTTACTACAGATTTGAATATAAATGTTCATAAATCCAAAAATCGAAAAGATTCATAATAATTTACAAAATTTAATTTTATTATAGAATAAGAGAATATTCCCTCAGCAATAAAAATAATAATAATGAATTTTCTTATGGAAAATAATTTTTTCTATTAAAAATAAACAATAATAATTATAATAAAAATAAAGTTAAACCAAATTATACGAGTGGGTATAAGTTAAAAATTAAATCGAGAATTAGGCTTAAGGTTATGATATTTTATGCATAAATAGTAAAATTTCTGAAATTTGAAATTTGAATTACAATTGATAACGAATAACATTGATAGCACATAGAATAATATGGTATAAATTGAATTAAAATTTTAATTAAAATTAATATTAATATATAAACAATCGAAATAATAAGTCGAGCAAGGACTGTTCAACGTATGATTGGTAACAAAAGTAAAAAAACTCTTGATAGTGGAAGCAAATAAAACTTTCATATATATATATATATATATATAATATGGTATAATTGATTAAATTTAATTAAAAAATTAATATTAATATAATAAACAATCGAAATAAATAAGTCGAGCAAGGACTGTTCAACCGTATGATTGGGTACAAAAGTAAAAAAACTTGATAGTGGAAGCCAAATAAAACTTTCAATATATTATATATATATATATATATATATAGTAGTCCTAATACAATATATAAATATATAGTAGTCCTATACAATATATAATTGCTAATGAAGATAGGACAAACTTTTACAATGGATTATAATTCCTAATTAAGATATGACATAACTTCTACAATAGGGCATAATTTAAAAATTTTAATTAGTATAAAATTTCTCTGTTAGGGATTGTATAAAAATTTTCACTTTATTAAACTTATAATTATTTTTTACACTATTAAAGATTTCTTATTTTCTTTTAATAATTATTTTATTTTTTAGCAAATAACATTTAGATTTAAATAAGGAACTAATATAACCAATCAAATTACATTATCTTTATCTTTTCAACCAATAAAATTAAAATCTTTAAAGATATTTTTGTCACTATATAAATTTAGTAGGATTTAGATAAGGTTTACGGAAGAGTGTTTTTTTTTTTTTATTTTTTTTTTATTTGTTGGTGAATTTTAAATTATCATGAATAAAATATAATAACAAATTCATTTCTTGCATAAGAAGTAATAAATTATAAAAATCCCATATTTTACGTACCTATAGCAGTAAAAATCTCAAATACATTTTAATATATTTTTATTTTTTAAACAAAATATTTTTATTTAAAAGGAACTTGTAACAATTCCATATGTCATCTTGGTAGTTCTCTCTCTCTCTCTCTTCCTCTCATATTCTAAAAGTGATAATGTGGCCCAATATTATCCCATGTGCTACTGAGGTGGGAATTTTTTATTCCCTTTTTCCTTTTACATTGTCCTCAGACTTTATATCCTGACTCTTGAAAATTTGTTGACTTTCATTTCTTTATATCATTAGGGTGTTATTAGTAAAATACCATCATCTGTGTTTTAGCATATTAATAGAATATCTTCTCAACATCTTGTATAGTCCAGTCTGAATAATCCTGAGATACCATGTATACCATAAAGCAGATAAAATATTGACATTGGAAGGTAGGAAAACAAGAGTACTGGTTTTTATGCAACTAACTGTGGAATTCTTTCCTGTTTATTACAATTGTTATGTATGATTTGTTTCTCTTGCAAGTTTTGCTTCCCATATTTGTACTCAATTTGTGTTTGTTGTTTTTCCTTATGGAATCTGGATACAGTATACACCAGCAATTGATATATGGAGTATAGGCTGCATATTCGCTGAAGTACTAACAGGGAAACCACTCTTTCCTGGCAAAAATGTTGTTCACCAGCTGGATTTGATGACGGATTTGCTTGGCACCCCATCATTAGATACAATATCACGGGTAAGCCAAATTCTATTCTTGTGCAAGTATTCTGTCCGATGCTTGATTTTGAATTTCACAGTTAATCTGTGCTTGCTCAACTCACAAGTCACATCCATATTTTTAGGCACATAAAACTGCCAATCCAAATAGTTATATTGCAGATATAGAAACACAAATAGTATGTGATTTTAACTTTTTTTTTTTCCAGGTTCGAAATGACAAGGCAAGGAGGTATTTAACTAGCATGAGGAAAAAGCAACCTGTGCCATTTGCTCAGAAATTTCCAAATGCTGATCCATTCGCATTGCACCTATTGGAAAGGCTACTTGCTTTTGATCCTAAGGACCGGCCAACTGCTGAGGAGGTTTGCTTCTTTTTTTTCACTAAACTGGAATCTCATGACTACATGTTGTCAGCTTAGGGTGTGACATCAAAGATATTTTTCTTTAAAATGGTTTAATAGGTTAAATTTTGGTCTGGTATGTTAGCAGGCATTAGCAGATCCTTACTTCAAGGGGCTGGCTAAAGTTGAGAGGGAACCATCTTGTCAACCAATAACAAAGATGGAGTTTGAGTTTGAGAGACGAAGGGTTACAAAGGAAGACATACGAGAGCTAATTTTTCGAGAGATACTGGAATACCATCCTCAATTGCTCAAGGACTATGTAAATGGGACAGAGAGGACTAACTTTCTTTATCCAAGGTTCTGTATCTCTCTCTTGTCTACCTCTTCTTATGATCAAACCTAGGTTCTAAATTTCTTTGTTTCTATGACATTTTCCATCTTACTGACTATAGTTAATGTTAATTCTCTCTTTGGTTTACTTTGCCCTGATTGTTTAAATGTTTTATATACAGTGCTGTTGATCAATTTAGAAGGCAGTTTGCACATCTTGAGGAAAATGGTGGTAAAAGTGGGCCAGTAATTCCACTTGAAAGAAAGCATGTTTCTCTGCCTAGGTGAATGAAAATAAATGGAATTTTCTTCTGCAGTTTGTCATTATTATTATTATAATTATTTTTTTTGAACTATCCCGGTTCGTACTAATTTGTTATTTTGCTCTTATTAGTTCAAATTATCTTGTATGAACAGATAGAGGCATATACTAAAAAATGGCCCATGATGTTAAGAAATAAATTTAACGCAATATGTATTATCCCTGGTCATATTTGGTTTCTTATAGAAGTGCCAATTTAGTCTGGTGGTAAAACTTAGGGCAGGTTTCTGTGTTTCTGGACCAAGGTCACCTTACCCTCCTCTCTGACTACTAACTATTGAGGATATTGTGGAAAAAGAAAAGAAGAGATAGAGAGAAAGAGGGAGAGAGGTCGATTGTATTTCATTTTCGTTTATTTCCTTATATCTCTTTCCCCTTTCTTCCAGTAGATACTAGTTGGTTCATTTCTCGTCTCATTGAGAGCTTTTAATATGTTGCTAGCTAGTTTCTCTATTTTGTGTTGGCTTATGTTTCTTTCGAATTGCCAAGTCAATTAATTTCCTTTGTGCTTTTGGCAGGTCTACAATTGTACATTCAAACTCAATTCCTCCAAGGGAACAGAACATTGCTTCCTTGACAGAGCGACAAACTGTGGAGGAATCATACAACAAAAATTACCGAGACTCTGACGGAACTTATGTAAATATATCAACCCTGCAGGCACAACAGAGAATTCCAATGGGTACTCTCGGTCTCTTTTTGCCAGTTAATTATCTATTGGGTTTAATATCGTTTCACTATTTATAAGACTTTATTGCATGTCCAACAGCTAAACCAGGAAAAGTTGTGGGGTCTGTTGCTCCATATGACAACGGAAGTATCATGAAAGATGCCTATGACCCAAGAACGCTTGTGAGAGGTTCAGTCCTTCCTACACAGGCTCTCCCTCCTGCGTATGGTTGCCGCAAATCTAGCACGAAGCAAGAGAAATCTATTCTGGAAACTCAAAGGGAATTGTCTTCGCAAAAGCAAGTCCAGCAATTTGGCACTGACACAGCTGCTAAATTTGCACCAGATATAGCTATCAACATCGACTCAAATCCCTTTTTTATGACCCGTGTGGGAATAAATAAGGTGGAACCTATTGATGATCGATTTACAATCAACACAAACTTGTTACAAGCCAAGGCTCAGTATGGTGGGATCAGTGCTGCTGCCTCTGCTACAACTGCAGCTTCTCACAGAAAAGTTGGGACTGTTCAATATGGTATGACAAAGATGTACTAAAGCACTAAAAGGGGAGTTGTAATCTTGTGCCAAATGGAGTGGTCCATGTAGAGACAATCGAAGAGGCTGAAAATCCAGGGAGTTTTCTATGGGTGGCCGGTGGCTTCATTACACAGCGATGGATGGGGGCATCTTGTAGGATCAGGCGTGTAGGGTTCTGTTAGGCAGTAGATTTGCTATGATAGCACATACTAGCGGTTGTAAAGGAAAAAATACATATAAATAGGAACGTTCTACATGGAGTGGTTAAAAAAATGCGGAAAAGCCTCATTTCTCTTCTTTCACAATTTGACTTCTCACAAATCTTTTCTTTTGGTTATTATTTGGGGCCTCCCATGAAATGAATAAACGCTTCTAAAGTTATCTTTCATATATATATATATATATATATAAATTCCGCTAAGTTGCCCTACATTGCAACAATTACAAAGGCTCAATACATAAATTGATAGAATTCTGACACCTCCGATTTAAATTGATTAGAATTCTGGCACCTCCGACTTTTAAATTGATTTATTAGATCATTCAATTTTATGAAATCATATTTATTAAACACTTTAATTTTTTAAGATTGTATTTGTAAAACACAAATTTTATAAGTTTTTCAATTATTGGATAGTTATATTCAACAACGAGCAGAATATATATGTTATAATATTTGTTGGCACAAATTATTAGCAATGATTTTCATAGTTTCAGCTATTTTATGGGTGTTAAATAAATAAAATTTTGCAAGTTGAAGGTTAAATAAGTGCAACTTTAAAAAGAAACTTTTTCATTAACTATAGTTTTACAGATTGAAGGATTAAGTGGATGAATATGAAAATTCATGGTGTATTAGCTTTTTCTGTAAAATTCAGATGTCACATTTGTTCCAATTACAAATTATTCTTTTATTATGAATTATTAACTTCTAAGTTGAAACTTTAAGGATAAAAGGTTTTACTTCATTTTCTGACATTGTTCCCTTTACTCCTTCAATTCTATGAACATGGTTTACATATCAAGTTCCATGCCTTCACCACTAAGAAATATCCCACCACTTCTAATCTATGCGGAACCTTGACTTCGGTCCTGCTAGTATTCAATTGTGCCCTCAAGACATTAATTACCTCAAGTCTAATCTTCTCATCAAAATATTTTTTTTCTTTCCATTACCAATATGCAAAATTATTGTAATTAGAGACGCACACTACTACCTTGAAGAATCTACATGAATATAGCCTCCTCCCTAGGTTACTGATACTCCATGACACCCATCAAGGAGCTTTCAAACGATAATAGCAGTATCTTGCCCTACCCTCGTACCATAATATGAAAGATGGGCTTTTTTACCATAAGTTTGTTACTTCATGTGCAATTTGCAACAAGAAGCTCATTGGAAACTAGACTTCTCAAGCTTTAACAATATATTGCATGCCAAAATTTAGCTTAAAACAAGTTCCAATAGGGCATTGAAAGTAAGATCGGAGGGCCGAAACAGGGCAAACTAAGTCAAGCTAGCCTCAGAAGCACGCCAGTTGCAGCAATCAAAGACGGAAGCCGCAGGAGGTTATGAGGCCGCCACACCATTAGACTCTCCTACCATGTGTAGCAATTTGATTTTTGATCCACAATTTTTACCCTTTTCACTATAAATAGGCCTCCTTGCCTCATATTTTCACACCCCGAAAATTCCTATTGTGTGGACACAGAAATTCTCTTTCCTCTCTTTTTGCATTCTTTTTCTAATTAATCAAGATGCTAGAGATAATACTCCTATTTTTATTCAATATATTTAATTGCTTTACTTTTATGGATGAAATATTACAGGTTCTATTCATAATATTTTTCTATGCTCATGCATTCTTTATATGTTCACGCATTATATAAATTGTTCATCAAAATTGTTTTCACACAAATATTGTTTTAATTTTAAGCCAAACAAATCATTGTTTTATATCAAAAATAGTCCTCAAATCCTTTTTGATTTCAAGTTCTAGTGCACTTTTCCACTGGACAAATTATTTTGGAGTCAAATTTAGATTTTTTTTCTTAACTTTTCCCTTAAAAATTAAACCTGAGATGATGACTCTTTTCTAAAAAAGCAAAAAAATTAAACAAACATTTATCCATATAATTGAAGCCCAAATAGTATTTTAATTTCTTTAGTTGGAATGGTGCTTGGGTGAGATCTCTCATGTGGGAATTTCAGTAGGGAATTAAAATTTCTTTCAAAAATTAAAAGGATTACTAATTGATAGAATTTTTTTTTTTTCAAAAATATATTGTTTGGTTTGTTATTAAAATTTGGTTTTTCATGCATCATTTTTTTGTAAGATTCTTTATCTAAACCCTAGATCTAATTAAGGAAATTCTCGCATTATATGTAGCATCTCTTCTGTAACTCTCTTTTAGTATATAGAGAGATTGTGATGGTGTCTGCCCTGTGCTGAATTCTCAACCTTTTTGAGGTGTAATGAGTAAAGTCGTACCGTTAAAACTATACAAAATTCCTTTTTTCACGTGTTGTTAAGTATATACCTTCTCTAGTGAGACAAAGCTCGTTTAAACCAAGACGCCCTTATCTTTCTGCATAAACCTTAGACCTTTGATCTTAACAAGCTCGTTAAAAACCAGAGGCCTTCCTTATCTTTTCTGCATAAATAAACCTTAGACCTTTGATCTTAGGTTTTAAGTACCATAATATATGTAAATCTTTGTCATGTTGCCAAGACACCCTCATCGTTCTGCATAAACCTTAGACCTTTGATCTTAGGTTTTATGTACCATAACATATGTAAATCTTTGTCATGTTCATGAAAATGCTATTTTCTAGCTCCATACGTGCATACATGCATAACCATTCCATACACCTTTTAGGTTTAGGATCTCGAGTAAAGTTAAAGAGTATTTAAACCTAAAATAATCTTTCTTTTCTCTTTTACCCTGAAACCTTACTTGCCTTTTTTCTTTCCTTCTTTTTTTAAAGGTACCTATGACCACCCAACAAGATCTCCAAGACATCCTTATGAAACAAGAATCTAACAAGAGGTGCAGAAATGCAAGGCAGCCTCACAATTTATAGGCAAGGCATTAGGGAGGTGCCAATTGGGCTGCCCAAAATGTGCCAAGGCTTGGGAAGTCTCTAGAGGCTTGGGAAGTCTCTAGCCCAAAGCTTGCGGATCCAAGCCCGCTTTCTAGAATTCTCTACACTACTCCACATAGGAGATATTTTGTGTAGTATCTACATAATTCTAGAACTCTCTTTGTAATCTAGACCGTTGATATTTGTAGGCAAAATCTTAGCCATCCATTGAGGAGGTGGAAGTGGCTATAAATACCACCCCTCACTTCACTTGTAAATCATCCAAGCTCAACCAAGCATTTGAGTAATAAGAGTTCTACAACAAAGCTCTTATAAGCTCTCTTGTGTTCTCTTCTCTATTTAGCCCTCATATTCGCTCCAACATAACTTTAAGGCTTACTTAGCTCGTCCTAACTCCCAAAGGTGACTAAGTGCCACGCGGATAGGCATAGCAAAAACCTATCTCCGCGACAGAGTGGTATTAGAGCAGACTTGTTGCACGTTACAATACCCAGCCGACTAAAACACGTACTCCAGGGAAGAGTCAAAAGTACCGCCATGTGTCTTGTCTCCTCGTGGTGTCGAAGCAATGGCGGAGTCCTAGGCACCACAGCTCCTCGTGATGTCGAAGCAATGGTGGAGTCCTAGGCATCACATCTTCAGGCGATGTCCAAGCAATGGCGAAGTCCTAGGCATCGTTCTTGCATCCGATGTCGAAGCAATGGCGCAGTCCTAGGCATCGGCGGTGTCAAAGCAATGGCGTAGACCTCAAGCACCGAGAATGTGTATTGGAGCAAGTGTATCGGAGCAAGCATGGCCAGAGAAGTGCCAGAGACATACTGTGAACCCCTCCCCCGAATATCATAGGCATGTGAATGCATGTGACTAAAGGGCAGAAATGCACGTGAGTGTGTGAGTCGCCACCTTGTTCGAAGTAGATGCTATCCGTTCCGAATGCCGGATGCACCAACGAATGAGTTGTCCCGCTTCAACCAGTGCTACCACAACAACCAGTGCTACCACAAGTCTGTAGGCACAATGGGATTGAAAGTTACCAAAAGCCTGCGACGTATTGAAAGCCTGCGACGTATGATGGAACGCGCAGGGCCTCGATGGTGGAAAACTTTCTCTTTGGCCTTGACCAGTACTTTGAGGCCATGGGGGTAAATGATGATGCCGCTAAGATTGGCAATGCCCCCACATTCCTTCGGGACGCTGCTCAGTTATGGTGGCGAAGGAAGCATGCGGAGCATGAAAAAGGCACTTGCAATATCCATACATGGGAGCAATTCAAGTCAGAATTGCGAAAGCACTTCGTGCCTCATAATGCAGATACCGAAGCAAGGGGTAAATTGCGTCGTCTACAACAAAGAGGTAGCCTTTCTGATTACATTAAGGAGTTCACCACCCTCATGTTGGAGATTGACGATTTGTCCGACAAAGATGCTCTCTTCTTCTTCAAAGATGGGCTAAGAGAGTGGGCGAAGGTGGAGCTAGAGCGGCGTAGCGTGCAAACACTTGACAAACACCTTTGACGATTGCTATTGCCGTGGTTGATCCCTAACGGACTACTCCACCCGAGTTGGAGAAACAATTAATGGTTGAATCCCTAACGGACTACTCCACCCGAGTTGAGAACAATAAGCCCATTCCTAGCAAGAGTGGGGGAGAGGAAGAAGATCAAGAGAAGGACCATCATGACAGGGAAGATGGTTCGCCCAAAGCTCTCGAGGGAAGACATGATAAGCAGTTTAGGAAGCATAATTTCAAACTTAAACCTTGCTTCCTCTGTGGAGGGCCGCATTGGACAAAAGATTGCCCCGATAAGGAGAAAATAAATACGATGCGTGATATCTATAAAAAGGCAATGAATGCCATGGTTGCCGAGTGTAATAAGGAGAAACAGGCGACAGGGGGACACCAAGCCCAGATGGGTTCCCTACAATATTTAGGTGCCATATCTCTTCGCACTCCCAAGGAGGAGGAAGTAACAAATCATGAGGAATCCTCATCAAAATCTGCCCAAACAGTGCTGGAGGAGTCCAAAGACATTACACCTCCACAGTCACCAAAAATGCTTCCTTCTAAAAAGGAAGACGATCACCAAAATGAGCTGGAGACTAATGCTAAGCTGCCAGCCATGCCCTCTCGTCGAAAGTCATCTCCAAAGACGGGAGAACCGAAGAAGGCCAATGTTGCCACCAATGCATCAAGTCACAAGGCGAAGCTAGCCAACACCAGTGCTAGCGCCTCGCAAAACAACCCACGGGATCACACCCGTATACCTCACAAGCGTGTGGGGG